CTGCTATTACAGAGACGGTTTGGATTTAAATTGTCAGACGAGCAGCAGAAAAATGTTTTCTGTAGACAAAGCCGAGTCTCACAAAACAAGTCCCAACAAAAGGTCGGAACCACAATTTTTTCCACCATTTAAAACAGCGCTATAAGTTAGAAGCTGCAGCTCCAACTGTGTTTTCAGCCTCCTTCCCTGAGACAAACCACGGTATAAAACTCATTTAGACGCCAAGGACTGTGTCTTTAGTGATATGATAAGCTACTGTTTTATTAATGCCGCTCCACCCCTCACTGTGAGACTTGAAATCTGTGTAGTTATTTTTCTGCTCGTCCAACTTCACGCAGTCCCTCCTTCTCCCTCTAAATAAAAGCAGCAGCACCTCACTGCTGCTTCACACACGAATATACAGCGAAGCACAGTATTTATGTTTCTTTCCACTTTAGACATATTTGGACTGATGCGACTTATACGGCGGCGCGGCGTGTACGACAGAAAATACAGTAAGTAAATAAATGTCTAAAAAACCAAACTTTAATGTATGTAGTTTATTTTTTTATCCATTTATTTTGTAGTTAATAAATGTGCCTGTGTGACAACTGGGACAAAGCTTTGACTCAAATAATTTTTTGTTATTATTTTTTTGGAAAGAAGAAAATAGAGATGTACATCGTATATTGCGATTTACCTTAAAATATCGAGATATTAATTTTGGTCCGTATCACCCAGCCTCAACTCCTACTCCGGGGCTTACTGCATATCCCATTATGTGTCCACTTGTTACTGTAGAACTTGGCCTTGTAGGCCACCATACAGCAAGCTAGTTAACAAGATCCCTTTATCTGAATGGAGTCTGCTAGCATGGAGCGGGAGGACAGCGCGATTCAACCCACCCCTTCGTCGTTCAAACTCAGTGTATGGACTAATTCTCAAGAGCTGTGAAGATTTCCCACTCCATCACTTGCTACATGAAAGGATTTACGAGCAGATAGCTCAGTCGAGTGGTTTAGGTTTATTTTTAATACGCTGGACTCAACGTACGTTATTCCTTCATGTAGTTTTTTTAATAATAAAGCAGTGCCACAGCTCTACCATGAAACAAAGAATAAAGTGGGAGAAGCTCTGATTAATGCTACCAGCTGCAGCTCAAGGGCTGTTTTTTTCTCATATTATACTAAAACTTATATAGAAAAGTTATACAAAAAAAACTTAATGTAATTTGTCTTTTGAACAGGTTGAAGAGAGGCCAGATGAGACATCGCCTGGAGCCACTTCCAAATGAAACAATTAGATGGTTTATAAATTACATACCAAATATGAATGCAAACTGTGAAGTCTGTATATTTCATATTAGGTTAAGTTTTGAAAATATAGCAAATGTTAGTGCAATATGGTAAAAAAAAAAAAAAACCTGTGAAGTCTATTTTGAGTTAAAGGGTAATACTATGGTAGGCCCAAGTCTTTGTTTCCTTTTGTATTTATACATTTTGAATTCTTTGTCAGGGACGGACTTGAGACCTGTCCAGGGTGTACCCCACCAGTGACCCCCGTGACCAGTAAAGGAAGAAGTGGGTAAATACCATGGATGGATGGATGATTTGTTCCTAAATTTATTTTATTTTAGAAAAAGCCAGGCAGCTAAGTTAACCTAATACCAGTAATTTAAGTTACAGAATTTTATGCACTCCTATATTTGTTCCCATTTCTGGTATGAATATAAAAAGATACACAAAGATTTGATACTGCAAAGAACCTAAAATTATTGGTTTACATAAATGTTATTTGTTTACATTGTTGTTTAATCTTTTCATCTGGTCAACTTTATAATTTAAACAAAATTTACGACCATTTCAATAGAAAACGTTTCTGAATCGAGTCGCCAGACACTGAGATAATCGCAGCCCTAATTCCAGATATCGGCTGTAAAACTAAGATATTTTTGAGTTTGGTTAGCTGTGGCGTTCATTGTGAACGTGAGGGACTCCAAAACGTCTTTAGCTGTAGACAAATATTAATGATCAGAGTTTCCCCTACCAGTATACAAGCAGGGCGCCGCGCCCCGTCAACAGAACTGAGTGCCCTGCCTCCTGAACCGCCCTCTGGATAACTGCTGGAACTGACGCGCTACATAAAAAGCTACAGCGGGTAGAGCTCCCCTTCACTCACGCTGATCCGTCTCCCCCTCCCAGCTACAAAACTGTTGGTACAAACAGAGCGCAACAGAGACATGCCATCCCCCCCCCACCCCCCACACACACACCGCGGACAAAATTACGGAAGACATGAGTGCCCTGCCAAGGAAAGTAAACTAGGGGAAACACTGATCATTTCCTGAAGGCTTCATTAAAATCCTTCCAGTTCGTTACATATTTTGCTAGTAGACAAACATTATGATTGTAGACTTGTATATAATAATTAAACTCTGTTTTTTTCCTTTCAGACAAGCTTAGAGGGTTACTGCACTGCTGCCTTGTCAAAAGTTGAACTCGTTATATTTGCATATAAATAATTGAAGATTTTAGAAAGCTACTTTAGAAGTTTTCAAATTGTTTCTTACACAAAATCTAATGACTGATGCCTTACTTTGGTCTTTCTTTTGCTACAAACATAACATTAAGATGATTAAAATATAAATCCTTTTCTCACAGCCTACACAAACATATTTACAACATGGCTGACTCTTCAGAGGGTCACCCGCTGCGTTCCTTGCGTGTTGCACGGCGTTTGTGTGGTTCTGCATAAACAACTTCCTGTTAGGATGAGATGATTTTAGGTCGAAGGTCTGAAGTCAACACGGGGAGGATAATAAAGAAATTAGTGTTCAGAGTCACAGTTAATAATCTACCCAACCCTGCACAGGCCAGTAATGTCCATTAGCGCTGCCGAACCACCTGCTGCAGCCCCTACATTAACGCAGGCAGCGCTCTGATGTGACGCTACAACAGGAAGCAGGTAAACACAAACTCACACCTCCTGAAAGATGAAACAAGCACCCACTGAATGATCTTGGTTTCAGTTTAAAATAAAGACAGCAGTGGGTTCTGTAGGTGCTCGCTCTGGTTTCAGCCTCCCAGGAGGGGGACACACGTTACAAGAGTTGTTTTCCCCTCGTGCGCGTCCTCTGTTGGACTCCGCCCACTCGGCCACAAGGCCTTCTGGGTGATCTCTGCCCCTCCCTGGAGTTTGACCCAACTCGACTGAGGCAGGCGGTTCTGACTGTCATCAGCACCTGCTCCGCTACAGGAGCATACTGGAAACGCAGGGACTTTCACTGGGACCGGTACCACGTAAGACATGAGTAAGGAGTTATTTAAATCTGATGTAAGTCCATCACAACAACAGAGATGAAAGGAAAGGCTTCCCGCACGTTTTTAATCTCCATACGCTTCCAGGCTCAGATTCATAACATTTTCAAACAAAAAGTTTCTACATTTACAGTAAATCTTTTTTTTTTGTATTCACGCTAAAACAGTAAATTCAAACAAAATTAAATGATCGTCTAAAGTCATTAAGACCAGACAAAGGAAAAGTCAAATAAAACAAAATATATTTCCTTATATTCAATCTGTTTAATTTGTAAGCATATCCGCGAGCGGGCGCAAACTCCCGCTTGTTTACCTTCAGAAACAGCCGAAGTGACTGAAAACTGATCAAATATTAAACATGTCGTCCAGCAGAAGTTTAGCGTGTTCAAACCGTCTTCACGGCGCTCAGCTGCTCTACTTAACCCTCCAGATTTATTCTCGTCTTATTCTTTCTTCTGTTTCACGTTCTTCAGCAGAATATACTTTAACTGCTTCTGTTCACAGACTAACCCATGTAATGCAGGTAAATCATGCGACTTCAGCTTTGAGTGCTTTGTTTACATTGAGTGCAGACCCGCATTTCAGGATAACATTTATGTAAAACTACATGACCAAAATCCTTCCAACACCCAGATTTTGTGGAAAATCTTTTTTTAAATGTTTAATACTTTCAGGGTGAGTAAAACACAAAAATCTTCATCCTGACAGTAAGTAAAAACATGAAGCAAATATTTGAAGAAAAATGTGTTTCTTTTGCTTAAAATTCACGCCCCCTGCTTTAAATATTTGTACAGTAGTGGGGTTTTATTATCCGTTTATATTACAGGTACCACATCGCCGTAAGGAGTAACTACATGATCATTCCTGTCTAAATATGTCAACACAGATGAGCCGTGGACAGAACTATAAACTGCCATTATTGTCCTTAGAGGACAACGATTTCATGGCTCCAGTCACAAACACGGTGAAACCGGAGATCCATGCATCTACAAGCTTTCAGACAGTAACTCAAAAATATATATTTTGAAGGCTAAATCCTCGAGATCATTTTAATCAGTTGATCTGATCAGTGGTTGAGGTGTTTTGGGCATCTGGTAAGGATGCTCCCTAGGCGCCTCCGTAGGGAGGTGCTTCAGGCATGTCCAACTGGGAGGAGATCCCAGAGAAGACCCAGGACACACTGGAGAGACTGTCTCTCTGTTGGCCTGGGAACACCTTGGAGTCCTCCCAGAAGAACTGGAAGAGGCTGTGGAAGGAGATGTCTGGGCCTCCCTGCTCAAGCTGCTGCCCCGTGACCTGACTTCAGAACAAGTGGAAGATGATGGATGGATGAAGGATGGATGGATTTGATCAGTAACTGATCGTGCCTGTACGTCTCATCGTTAGACAGGGAAATGAAAACGGCTTACTGTGGACCAAAGTTTAGATTGCTCTAAGCGGTAACAACATTATTTAAGCGCACACATTCTTGTGAGTGATGATCAGCCACAGAAAAACTCACGGGTCTACCTTCAATATGAGGTTTGACATGTTGGATGAACCCAACTGAACATACTGACGACTGAATCCTTTTATATTCAGTCAATAATAAAAAAATCCCACTTTTTTCTGAGCACACAGGAACCCTTCGAGACCTTTTACCTTAAAAACAACCGAGCGTTCATACAGCGAGGTTCAGCCACGGGAGTGTTTGAGGACACTTACATTTTGACATGTCGCTGCTCAACGTCCACCCTGGACAGCTCGTCGTCCTCCAGGTCAGAGTCCCCACCAGAGCTGCTTTCCGTTACGTCTGAGTCAAAGGCGCTTTCAGCTGAATGAAGGTTGGCCGATCCACTCAGATACAGCTTCTCCAGCTCCAGGGGCATGGAGCCGCTCTTCAGGAACCGACTGAGGCCGTCTCTGTTGTTCGAGGACGAGTGGCGCCCGCTCCTCCACGAGGCCGAAGACGGGGCCACCTCTGATTTACGGCTGCCGGCTCGTAGCCTGCTAAGAGCCGAGTCCAAGAAGCCACCCAGCTGCTGCTGGATGTGCCGCTCCACCTGCTTGGCCTGCACCACCTGAAGACGTTTGCGCAGACGCCGTAGTCTGTTTTCGATCTCGGCTTGTCGCCTGCCGCTGAGAAGCGTGCGCTCTCGAACGTGAGCGTCCAGGCTGTCCGAGGAGGAACCGCACGGCAGAGGCGACTCGGGTGCAGCTGTGCAGGTTGGGGAGCTCTGCTGGCTGCTGCCCGGCCTCTCCCCATCAGAGGCATGTGTCTGACCAGTACTCGTTTGTGAACTGCCCTCTTCCAAACAAACTCGCTCAGAGGGGTTCGGGTTGTCCTGGGTAAAGGGGGGTAGAGCAGCAGAATGAAGCACAGGTGGTTCAAGGTTATTCCCATCTGCATTTTGAGAAGCTCCGGCAGAACTCTTCTGTTTGAGGTTTTCTTTGACCGGGATGTGGCCTGATATGGTAGCTGTAAAGGTCTCCGAGTCCAGCTGCAGATTCTGGGACTGAGAGTCTGTGGCAGCAGGAGGCTTCTCACCGTTCACCGCTACCACACAGCCCGAGCCCGACATGGTGGCCAGCTTCCTGGCCAGGCCGTTGACAGGTGTCATGGACTGGCCACTCCCGTTTGTGCTGCCGCTCATGAGGCTTTTCAGCTGACCGCCTGACAGTTCTATGGCCTGCCTCTTCCTCAGGAGGAAGTCTCCCCCGCCGTTGAGCAGGGAGCTGGGCAGTATTCTGTGGTTCTTCAGCACAGACTGTTTGAGGAGGACTCCTTGCAGCTTGATTGACTCCTTGGTTGCAGGGACCGATGTCACATCAGAGCATAAATACGAAGCCACTAGGGGCTGGAGTTTGCCCAAGGCCGAGGCCTGGGACACGGGGTCAGCTTGGGGCGGCTGCTGCTGCTGCTCCTGGTCGCCGCCGCAGAAGTCAAGAGGGCAGTCTTCGGTGCCGACCTTGCACTTGGCGGGGCCGCTGCTGTGGATGAGGATGTTGCTGGCGTTACCGTTGTTCTCTGCGCTGGCTGGTGAGAAACTCGAGGATGGGGCAGCCAGTTTGAAGCGGATGTGGTGAGCTTCGGCTGGGGCGTCAGTGAGAGCGGGCGCCATCGCAGCCATGCAGTGCAGAGGGACGGGCACCGCGGCCTGCTCCACTCCACCCGCTTACTGCCCCACCTGAGGACAGCCTGCAGAGAACAGGACAGGAGAACAAGTCACACAAACAACCCTGGAGAGGAACGGATGTAGACAAAACTTTCTCTATCAGCTCATTACTGAAATCATACATTTATTTATTTAGATTCATACTGATGCACTTACAATTATTACAACAGAATTATAAAGAAACATTTAAAAAAAAAATGGCAAAGTGACAATTTGCTTTAAAAACAAAATGTGTCAAAAAGAAAGATTTCTTACCAACACATCTATACTAAATACATTTTCCTAAAAGTAAAACTGCACAGCGAGCCTATATGCAACATAAAAATAAATACTTGCACAACAAGTTCAGTGAGCCTATACAGGGACTGGAAAAATACCAACCGCCACCCAGACAGCAACGATTTCTCAATATCAGGTCCCAATAATCTATATAAATATAATAAAACTAGTCATTTATATTCCAGGTCCGAGCGGCAGACCAGCTTACCCCCCTCACACGAACACACGCAAGATCAGAAAAATATATAGTTAAACTGAGACCTGAACGAAGCAAACTTCTGACATTTTTTGACCTTTCAACTGATACCGATTCTAAAAATAAAACGCCCAAGCAAGATTATTAAACTTTTCGGTTGTTTTTATGAACATTTACTTTTCATTAAATTATCAAAATTGTTAAAAAAAATAATTTCAGCAAACAATTCTCCAACATTAGTAAACGTGGCACTGCACTGAGAAGTAACTGTTGGGAGATCATATCCTGATGGATGCAAAATAATCCAGGTAGAAAAATCTATCTGGTCCTCTGGACGAATTCAAAAAAATAAAAAAGCTCTCACAAAGATCTCCCAACAGTTGGTGCACATTGTGGTAAAACGTGTGCGTTTTCAGCTGCAATCTCACTAAAGTCTGTTTGCAATCAGCCGGCCACATGACCAGGTTTGTGAAAATCTCTGCCTATTTAAACGTTCTCAACTCATAAAACTGCATTTTTGGCTGCGCACATTATTTTGTCACCGTCCACATCGTGCCCACCTCAGCTTGGTTTGTTAGTAATGCCCTGTTGATATAATGATGGGCTGATCTGGACGCGTTTTTCAATCATTTTTATTATTTTTTTATTTATTTATCACTGCCGTGGTTTTCAGACCCGTCCGTTTGCCTCGGATGTGTTCTGTCAGAAGTTTGTTCTGGCACTCGAGTCTGGTTGAAGACGAACAGGACAAGCGATTATTTAGAGAGAAAAGTTGTTGCAACTTGACCGTGTGCCTCTGCAGGCTCTTCCACAAAACGGTTCTATAAAATGACCACAAAGACCGCTCGGTCTTTATGGTCTGACCGACCACGTCCCGCAATGGAGCGAGCGTCAAACCAAAAGAGGTGTGGAGCAGAACTCGGCTGGGTTGATGTGGAGCGTAACCATTACTGGTGTGGACAACGTCTCCTAGGACCATGCTGCTGTAGATCGATTTCTGGTTTTTCCATTTTTGGCACCTTGTTTCTGTGTTTTTGTTGCATGCTTTGAATAAATCCTAGTTTATGTTAGTGCTCACATTAAGAGTGTAAATTACAGCCGAACAGAACCTATGAGAACCGTGCCGCAGTGGTTCAGTGTAGTGTGTTGCACCATTAGTGACTGACATTTGTCTTAGATCTTTTAGCGTACCGTTTGGCGTTTGTTTAGCGTATATCTTAGACCCTTATTTACTGTTTATTTTTACACCTTATATTTTTGCTATTGTTTGATGCAACTGGGACTCTGTGTGCATAATTTCGTTCCACTACAAGTACCACATGTGATGCGAATGACAAATAAAAAAACTCTGACTTTTTTGTATGGATTTTAAAACAAGTTGAATTAACTCAGTTCAGGGATTCTTCTTGTGTTTAACTATGTTTTTATACTACATGTAAAGTTTCTGTGCATCGTCATCCATAATCTGTTAGTAACGAACCTGTTTGTTGTTTAATCCCGCGACCACGTGGTCCCACAAACCAGGTGTCATCACTTCATCACATTGAGCCACAAAGCCATCTTACCTTTTCACACATTGACCGTGTCGGCTCTATTACGACCTTGCTTTGTGGCCCAACGGGGGTGGGTTGGCTTCAACCCCTCTCACCGCCTTGGCTCGTTCACAAATCACACTGAGGCATCAGAAATGTGTCTGAGGCCCCATTTACACAACCCGTTTTTGAGTGAAACCGCAGCTTTTCGGCTGCAGCTCAGTCAGGGTTGCCAGATAAATTTAAAATGTCTTATTTACCCCTCCTTTTCTATGCATATGTTCACTAAACACAGCGCACACCTCATCTTGCAATATGCTTACTCAGCACACGACAGTTTAGGCCAACATGCTACAATTTTAAAGTGACAGTACTATGTTCATGATTTCTTATCTGGCAACCCTACTGACATGGAAACTAGTGTTTTCATGTAAACTTGCTCTTTTTTTTTTGTTTATTACCCCTAATGAACATTGAAAAAACACTAACGTTTCCAGAGGTTGTTCTCGTGTAAACAGGGTTCAAGTCCTGGCTTGAAGTGTTTTGTGAAAGAAACTAGAGGCTCACACAAGACGGCATTCATTCATTCATTCGGCTAGCTATTAGCCTAACCTGGAGACTCTTTCTCTGCACCCTGCGCTCTATGACTGACGCCACAGCCGATAAGCTACTAACTATTAATAACTATTAGACAAAACATCACTTCATAAACGACCAGACTACCCCTTTAAGCACCGACCTTGGAGAATGGGATGCAAAGGATACAGATGGAATAACAGCAGTCACCCGAGCTATGGCCAATGAATAATTCCCGCTACAAGCATTCGTGTGCAAACAAGCACTCAAAGTCATTTACTTACAAGGCCGGTGTAAAGAAGCAAAGCTGTGCAACTCATTTCTGACGGGGCAAGAAACAGGAGAGGCCAAATGCAAATAATCCAAACCCCACTGCCCTACATGTGCCCTGACGAGTCAGCATGCAGCAGGGCAGATGGGTGGATTCAGGCCCTGCATGTCGTCACCCTGACACGATTGATCATTTTACATAAAACTTAGAGATCATCACTTTCCCTGATACTACTGAAGGAGAAACACTTCCAAACACAACCAGGATGCAAAGCAGGTGTCCGTGGCAGGAAGCCTCATTCTGGACTAATGGGAACCTGAAAAGGCCTCTCCATTTTTTAAGAGTGAAAGATAAGAGTTGGGTCGTCTGCAGGCTCGGATGAATGGGAGCTCAGTGTTTCACTGCAGTTTTGAGTCGGCGTGCACTACGCCATGTTGGTGTTTCTGAAGCAGATTATGCAATCTGATTCATCCCCTAAAACCACCCATTCTGCTCCAAATGATCCCAGCAGAACCGAGGAGAGGAGGAGTCCAAAAAAAAAACTCATGCTTTTTCAAAGCCAGCTGTTCAGTAAATAAATAAAATCCAACCCTAATCATCAAAATGTTTTCCTGGTGTTTACCAAAACGCTTAAAAATCAGCTCGTCTGTGGAGTTTAATCGGGATATAATGATCCAATTAGATCAAACACAGCACGAGACCAGTTTGGATTAATGGGAAGAAACAACAAACGAGGAAACTGGAGATGAACGTCCCGTTAAACCGTGCACTCGGAAAACACTGCGTGGAAATGAAGGTCCAGGCCGAAGAAGAAAGCTGCTGATGCAGGAAACAACCTGCTGGCTGTTTCCTCGGAGCTGCAGTGAGACGACAAACTCCGAGCCCCGCACGGATTACGAACCTCAACTCTTTCTACGTAGGCGAGTAAACAATTAGCGGCTGCGTAACCTGCGCGCACCGAGGCTTTAATTACGCCCCAACCTATAACGTTTAAATATCCCGGGTAAAGCACCGGGTTACACCCGGGTCTGGATGCTAAGACACCCTGACGTTACAACCAGAACCCCCAGTTCAGGGAAACAACTATTAAACAGCGCTTAATGCGGACACGGGCTGCATCGTGATCAAACTACGGGAATAAACACGGGCGGCCCGGTCCAAATGTTAAACGGCCCCCCGCTGCCTTACGTGGGTGAAACAGCTGGTGTGGTCAGGCAGAAATGTGAAAAGCTGAGAAGTTGGGAGTAGACCCAGGCAGTCTGGCTAGCTCGCTAACAAAGAAAAAGGAGGAACCTACCACGTGACGAGGTTGCACTATCCGAGGGAATTTCGGCAACAGTCCCCTGCAGTTTGGGTTAAAAAAAAAAGCCACTAACACAAATACACGAGGCTTCACTCGATCACTCTGCCATGAATAAATCACAAAAATATAAAGAATCCAACCAGAACACGAAAAAGGGCCCCGGGTTTCGGAGCTCGGCTCGGCTTCGTTCCGGATTCGGCAATGGCTGGGCGAATCAACGATCTACACCTCGCTCGCCTCGCCGCCGCGGCGAATATAAGCCAAGGGCCGCGAAACGGTCCGTCCGAACCAGAATTACTTGAAGCGTGGGCGACCCCACGGCAGTCCTGGGGCGAGAGGCCCGCTTCCCGGGGACAGAAACGTAATCCGGGAGGCGGTTCGCGGCGAGCCTTTTTCTCTCGTTTTAGGGAGAGACGCTTAGAAAATGGCGGCTAGCTGCTCTCGGTCGGATCTGACAAACACACGGGAGCTGTGTGTGTGCGCGCGCACCTCCCCGAGTGTGTGCGCGCGGGCGCTGCTGGTAGGCGGGAGACACTTCCCGGTTCCACCAGCAGAGGAGACCCGACAGAACGGCTCCGGGACCAGGCCACAGGAGGGCATTGTCTTCCACAGCGCGGAGCAATGTCACTTTATGCTCTTGTTGTTCAATGCGCCGCTGGTCGGACTGGAAGTACTGGGCCGTTTGATGTTCTTAATGCACACACAGTTACACAAATACAACAAATGTGCGAACTATTCACAGCATGTAATGGAGTGATGTGGCTAAATATTGGTGCGAATGCTGGTTTTTGACGTTTTTTCAAAGTATTTAACTTTACAAGTATTTTCCTCATCGATAAATAACGACCTAATCAATACCTTCAAAATTGTATTTTTAAATTCGATACAATTTAACGGCTTTGTTTTGATCTTACTGTGCTACTTTTAGCTCTTAGCTATATCAACTGTATTAGCATTTTGCTACTTACAGCTAATTTTAGCTGCTTTTTCTTAGAATTATTTGCACTTTTAGCTATCATTCTGCTGTGTTTAACATTTAACTAGCCTTTTGTTACTATTACCACTTAGCTAACATTCTGATAATTTTAGTTTGAACAAAGCTTTTGCTACTTTCAGCTTGTAGTTAGCATTTCAATACTTCTTGCTCCTTTGATCTAAATTTAGCTGGGGTTTTCTGTTAGCCTTTGCTGCTTTTTGCTCCTTTCAGTTAGCATTTTACTACTTGCTGCTGCATTTGGGTGCTTTTAGTTAACCTTTGGCTGCTTTGAAGTTAAGCTAAGTTATTGCTACTTTTAGCTTCTAGCTACCTTTCACTTCTTTTAGCTAACACTTGGTATTTTTGTTGCTTTTAGCATTTTGGAAGTTTTAGCTTTTAGCCAACACTTTTCTGCTTTTAGCTTTAGCTACCTTCATGTAGTTTAGCTTCTGGCTACTTTTATTTTATTTATTTATTAATCTTTATCTAACCAGGCAAATCCCACTGAGATCCCAGATCTTTTGCAAGAGGCCTGAAGGCAGACCAACATGCATGTTTTTGATCTGTGGGAGGAAACCGGAGTACCCGGAGAAAACCCACACAGCACGAGAAGAACATGCTAACTCCACACAGAAAGACCCCAGGTCCAACCGGGGATTGAACCCAGGACCTTCTTGCTGTGAGGCAACAGTGCTAACCACTGAGCCGTCGTGCTGCCACTATTTTAACCAGCTTTTGCTTCTTTTAGCTTTTTGAAACTTTTTATGATGCTGATTTAAGTTTAGATTGACTTTTTGTTATTATCAGCTAGCATTTCACTTTGTTAGCTTTTAGCTAGCATGGATACTTATAGTTAAACTTTTGATCTTGATATTTTTAGCAATCATGTTGCTCTTTTTAGCTTTAAGATAGCCTTTTGGTACTTTTTGTTAGCATTTTGGTGCATTTAGCTAATCTTTTTTGGCTTTTAGATGTTTTACCACCCTGTTAGTTTAGTGTCATTTATCTTTGTGCTATGTTAGCTAGCATTTTGCTTCTTTTAGAATTCAGCTAGTGTTGATACTTCCTGTTTAGCTTCTTTTAGCTTTTTGCTTTCTTTGTCACCATTTTGTTTCTTTTAGCGTCAAGAATGCTTGTTAGTATTTTGGTGCTTTTAACTTTCTGGGGCAGCTGTGGCTGAGTGGTCGTCCTCCAGTGGGAGAGTTGGGGGTTCGATTCCACCAGCAGTCACATGCTGAAGTGTCCCTGAGCAAGACACCGAACCCCTCACTGCCTCTGATGTGCGTATGTATAGCACTGTTCATAACTGTAACAGTTTCAGCTTGTTCAGCACATTTCAGCAGTCATCATCAGCGTTCACAGAAGAAGAGTTCCTCTGGATTAATCATCCATCCATCGTCTTCACCCGCTTCTTCCTTTTTGGGTCACGGTGTCACTGGCGCCCATATCCAGCAGTCACTGTGTGAGAGACGAGGGACACACCCTGGACAGGTCTCCAGTCCACCACAGGGACACATAGAGACAAACAATCATTCTCTCTCACACCATCAGCCTAACATGCATGTTTTTGGTCTGTGGGAGGAAACTGGAACACCCGGAGAAAACCCACGCATGCACGGAGAGAACATGCAAACTCCACCCAGAAAGGCCCCCAGCCGGGATTTAAACTGGCAACCTTATTGCTGAGCGGCGACAGCTCTACCAACTGCCCCTTGATTCTGACAACAACAAAAAAAACCCGATCCTGGTTCTGCTGGAGGTTTCTTCCTGTTCAAAGGGAGTCATTTCTTCCCACTGTCACCAGTGTGCTGCTCAGGACGGGAGACTGTTTTAACGTAAAGATTCGCCTCAGTTTGCCGTTTTATTTTCTAACAGTTAATCCAAACGTTAATTAAACTTCGTCCAGCGGTTCATGGTATTTTAATCTGGATTATATGTATTGTACAACAACAGCATTTTCTGGGTTATGACCTTAAAAAGTATCATGAATACAACCGAGATGTAAAAGTATTTATGCAGCTGAATCACTTCCTGTTAAACAGGAAAAACTAAACAAATATTTCCCCATTCTGATTTTCTGCTGCTGTTCACAAAGAAACAGCGTCTCCGGTTGTTGCAGAGACACTTGGACTTCATTTAGTCCGTGTGTGGTTGTAGATTAACGGCAGTTCATCACTTCCTGTGTGGTCAAAGATGTTCTCAGGGAGGACATGATGAAGATGTTCTCGTTTTTTCTCAAAAATCTCTCAACCAAACGGCTCCAGGCACTTCCTGAAATCCCTCACCACAGATTCCAGGAAGAATCCTGAACCTTTTCTGTTTAAGACATCTAGTTTTGGCAACTTTCACCCATAAGATCCACTGACGTTTGACCTCAGGCAAACACACAATGGAATAAAAATAAATAAATTACCTTTGAATCCATATTTGAAATCCTCCACGCAGTAATCCAAGAGCAAAGAGTAAATCCAGTTACAGCAAAACGAACCTGCAGCAGAACAAAACAGACATTAGACGAGCTGCAAGACGTCGTTTATGAAGAATTAACTACTAAAATTAAGGATTAGGGTTTACAGTTTTATAATTTCAGAACATAAACTGTAAAACAAGACTGAGATATTTTCTGTTGAATCAGACTGAGCCAAATGTTTTCTAGTGGAGGTAAACGTGATAAAACCAGCACAACTTCCTGTCTGCTTCATGTTGATTTACAGCCTAAAATATTGAATTTATTTTCTACTAAAATTAAAGTTCCCAGTTCCAACTCAAACTCAAACCGACTCCACGGTTCAGGATGAACTTTCATCGCGTGGATCAGATCGACTGTTTTACGTGACCACTTTAGTAATTCAAACATCTGTAAACAACGTTTATTTACAGATAACAGACACTTTATCACCAGGAACAACTTCTGTGCTGCTTTAGATGTGTCTGTTAGTAAAATATCTCATGATCCACTGAACGAACAGTTTGACAGATTTGTGATAGGATGCGTGTTTTTCAAAGTCAGGTACATCCAGAGATTACAACATGAAAGTTTTAATAAAATACGTGCAGACTTTATTCAGATATTTTGCTAACAGACAGTTAATAGAAACAGTTTTTTAGGAAAGCTTTAAACATAGATCCACCTCAGTGTGTTCAGCGTGTTCTGCTAATTCTGCTACACGTTTTATCTTTTAGCTACTGTTTGGTTTTATTAGCTTTAGGCTACAGTTTTTATATTTTTGGCCTTCAGTTTCTGTTCTGCTGATTTTATATTTTGGCTGATGTTCTGCTAGTTTAAGCCTTTCATGACTTTCCTGCTCGTTTAGGCTTGTGAGCTCATTGTAGCACGTATCCTTCTCATTTTACTTTGTATTGTACTTGTTTTAGCTTGTGCTCTGCTAACTTTAGCATACGTTCAGCTGGCTTTAGCTTGTATTCTGCTTGTTACCTGTGACATGTTCATTTTAGCTTGTATTCTGTTTGTTTTAGCTCATGTTAGCTAATTTCACCTTGTGTTCTGCTCATTTCAGCTTGTATTCATCTTGTTTTAGCTCGTGTTCTGATGATTTAAACATTTGTTTTGCTCCTTGTAGCTTGAGTTCTATGTGTTGTTGGGGATCACTCTCAGCTACTACCAAACTCAATTTTTGTGTATTCTCTTTCAAACTGACATTTGTATTTTTTCATGTCACTTGTCTTCTGCAGCCATCTTGAATATTTATTTTGATCAGCCCTGGACGTGGATTACTTCTTTAAAGTTTCATTAAAATTCATCCGCTGGTTCACAAGATATTTTGCTAACAGACCCCTGAACTGTCTAAGAAGGCTGCAGTCTCAGTTTCCACCACTAGATGTCAGCGAGCGCTCAACTGTTCTTTAAAAGTGTTTTGATGGTTCTGAGACTGAAACCATCATTTTTAGACTAAATCATCCAGAATATCTAAAATAAACAGAGATTATTACAGAAACTGTTCCTGGCCTCAATAATTATATGGATTACTTTAAAAATCTAGGATTTTTGGCTCCAGTTTGTTGTGGCGCTCACTCAATATTAAAATAATAGTCCTTTGTATTAATCTGATGACATTAACGTGTTTATTTGTTAATCTTAGATTAAGGTAATAGATGAAACAACCTCTCAGTTTAAATTAAATTATTCTGTTAGAGCCACAGTTTTAATCTGAATTTAGAATAATCTGAATGCTGAGTCAGCATTCAGATTATTCTACTAGTTTATATTTTATGTACTACTTTAACCGTTCCTGTATCAAAACGTTCAGCTTCATCCAGATTAAGTCCTCGGACTTTTGGTCTTTCTAACTTTTCAAAACATTTAAATTTGTTTACAAATATGTTTACAGTAGAAACACATTGAGCTCTCTTTAGCTCATTAAACAACATTCTAGTTAAACTGACTTCAGCTACTGGTTCTATTTTTGTCTTCTTTAGCTTCTGTTCTGCAAAATTTAGCTAATAATTC